TCAAGACAGGAAATTTCTTTATATTTCCCTCTTCTTCCTATTTTGAACCATGATACCTCATGATAAGTTTGGAAGACACAGACTAAGAGAAATATATAAAACGGGAAATGCTACAGAAAGTATAGACGGAACATGATTGGTCAGGGATTGCTAATGAGTGATGCTCAGTTAAGGAGGTTTATTATATACATGTTCACTTAATCTTTCATTATAAAAAAATGAAAATTTCCATAATATAAAATTTAAACCCAAACAGAATGTTATTGAAGCAATGATCTATGGAATCTGTACTCCACAAAAATTTTGGATGGAACATCAGATGGTGTAATCTGGACAATCTATTGGTTTGCTATTTATTGTCCTGGAGGTGGTATAGAATGGAACTTTCATAGTCTGATAGAGTGAACCTGAGGATCCTGAATACAGGAAAAAGAGTGTAATCACAATTCTAAATGAAGGGGAAATTTCTCTTTATGAGGGATGGTTACATTTGGCCTGGAGAAGATAAGAATTCTGTGCATGTCAGGTTGCCTGGAGAGGCTGAACTATTAGCCCTCTATCAGGAGGTCTAATTGGAACATCTCCTCTTTTCTTTTTTCCCTTGTAGTGGGAATTAAACCAGGTACACTTTACCACTGAGCTACATCCCCAGCCCTTCTTTATCTTTCATTTTGGGACAGGGTCTTCACTAAGTTGCTTAGAGCCTTGCTAAATTGCTGAGGCTGACCTTGAGCTTAGAATCCTCCTATATCAGCCTCCCAAGCGGCTGGTATTGCAGGTGTGGGCATTTGCACTTGGTGAAACATCATCTCTTCATGTGCTGGCATCAGAGGATGCTGAAGTTAGGAACACAACCTCTTTGAAAAAATGAATTTGGCCTGGTCAGATAATAGTAAATTTAAATGACCCCCTTGTGGTTTAACTTTCTCTTGGCCTGGAGAAAATTCTAGCCTAAAATGCATACAAAGAAATAATATGATCAATAACAGCGACTTACAATAAAGGCTGAAGAAACAAACCATAAAAGTTTGGCTCATAATGAGACTAGTCTGTCCACAGTGGATAGTCATTTCTTTTAAGAGCCCCTTGGAGTCTAGGTATATTTCAAATGAGAGACAACAGGTAATGTTATTAATGTGAACCAACCTCAGTTTCCCCCAACTGTTAACCTAACCTAATATTTACTTAGAAAGAAAAATCTTTCATAAAAATAAGGGTTTATCCTAAGAAACATGATTTTGATCTCATTTTTTAAGTTCTGTCAATTCTACCCTCCCTTTCTAATGGAAATACAAGAGTCCTTGGAGCCCAGAAAAAAGTATTTTGTCAATAGTCTCAAGAGAGAATAGCATTACCTAAAATAAAGCAGCATTAAACCAATTGTCTAGCAAGGAAAACTAAAAAAAGTTCTCTTTCCATGGAAAAGTGAGGGTTTGAATTAAAACGTCTTTCTTTCTGGTCCTTTTTATACCCTCTTTCTTTCTTTTTCTCTTTTGGTACCGTAGATTGAACCCAGGGGTATTTAACAACCAAGCCATTCCCTAGCCCTTTTTGTATTTTATTTTGACACAGGGATCTCCAAGTTGCTTAGGACCTTGCTAAATTGCTGAGGCTGGCCTCAAACTCACAATCCTCCTGCCTCATCCTCCCAAGTCATTAGAATTACAGGACAATGCACCAGGCTATTATTAACAAAAGCAATAGCTATTATTTTCTTTTATGACAGGAGAAATAGGAACTGTGAAAGAAAAATATGAGCCCGACTTATTGAAGAAATCAACCATTGTTGAACCTCTCTGGTCACTTCTCAAGCCCTTGGGCTGCCTACAGGGCAGCTGCTCATTTGGTCCATCTAGATCTTACCCTACCAAACCCAGGCTTTTTGTGGATAGTTGACTTTTTTAATGGACCAGGGAAGTTATTATGCAAGAGCATCTTTTTCATCAGCATATTATTTTCCAGATTCCAAAGAAGTTCCTCACAGCTTTCTTTCGATTTCTCTAACTTCAGAGATCCTGGCCTCTTAGAATAAGAGGATCCTTTCCTAATGTAATAAGTTTAGTGGAACTTTCCTTGATAGAACTCATTCTTTTTGTCTGTTAGTGGAAAATTCTCAAACTTACAAAAACTTAATATGAAAAAAAATAAGCATGGATTCAGCAATTTTAAATGAATTTTTATTGTTCATAATGTACAGTCATGCACTGCATAACAATGTTTTCTTCAACTATGAACTGCATATACCATAATGGTCCCATTATGATGATGGAGCTTTAAAAACCCTATTGCCTACTGATATCATAGTGCAAAGCATTATGATATATATATATATATATATAGAGAGAGAGAGAGAGAGAGAGAGAATATATAAAATACTAAATTCCCATATATCCCCTCCCTGACCCTTGCACCATGTTCCCTTTTGTTTGTCCCTATACAGAATCCAATATGAATAATATCAGTCCCCAGAAAACATATCCATTCCAAGCAATGTGGTGCTTTCAACATAAAGTAGGGCAGAAGATATTTCCAGAAGATCCCTGGCTCATGATATGAGTTGTTTGCTCTCCCTGCACTTCCACCAATGTTATCTGAATCCTCACCAGAGACCCAAGTGATGGGAACCCCAGATCTTATACTGGAAACTCCAAAACAAAGAGCTACATAAACTTTTTTCTAAGCTAATTGCCTTGTGGATCCCATTATAGTGATGGAAAGCTGACTAACACACCAGTAGAAAACCAACTACAGTCATTTATGTAAATTATGGACCATTGCATCCAAGTATTACGAAACTCAGGGACAATTACTCATAGCATTAAGTGGGTCAGGTTTGACTGTGATGCTAACCTCTAGCTGCAAGTGCCCAGGGCTCCCTGTAGCTGGATCATCTGCTGCTGCAGTGTAGTCATTTGCTATTTGCTCACTGCACAGCCTTGCTTATCTCATATACTGTTCCAAAATCTTTCTGCAGTCTTTAGTCTTTTGAAAATATCTTCTGCATTTTATAATCTTCCCTCCCTCCTTTTTAAAGAAGCATTTTATTCAAAAAGTGTATAGAGTACTCCTATGTTCAAGGTACTGAATTAGGAGCTGGAGGATAAACAAACATAACTCAGGCCACCCATATAAATGATTTATATCAGGGAGTATAATGAAAACTTAATACAAACAAAGAAAAATTGCTGTGGGGCTTCAAGAAGCGCTGGTTGTCACTTTTAAAGTAGATGCGTATTTTTATCTTTTAAACCATTACCTATATAATACTTATTATGTAATCTACATATGTATATTTCATGTTTCTTTTCTCTTTCCCCTCTCTCACACACATATTAGAATATAAACTTCAAAGTGCAAGGACATTCTGTTTTGTTCACTGATGCATCCCAAGTATGTAAATAGTAGCCAACATGCACAAGGCACCTAATAAATATATGCAGGGTAAGTAGGTGCTGAGAAACACAAGAGAATCTCAGGTAAGGAAGTCAGAGTGAACACATGTACAGCTCCCTCTTCAAACGCTAGCAAAACCACAGTAAAGGGATTATTTAACAGGCATAATCCAAGAATGAAAAAAAAAATGGGAGAAAAGACTATGGGAAGATTCTAGAAGCTGGAACACAGTTGGATGACTAAGACTGTCTTAGTAGAACCTGATCCTGAACCTGAGGCTGAAGGACAGCACAAAAGCAACACGGTTTCCACAGAAGAAACCACAAAAGCTCAAGATCCAGGGGCACTAGCTGCCTTGGAGGGCAGAAGGGAGGGCACAGCTTGCCTACGGACAGGATCAATATTCTGTTGAAGTTGACAGGAAATGCCCCAGACTCCAGGCAAAACACTGGAGACTATTCACTAGCTGAGTAAACTCCAGGATCTCTGACTGGGGAACAGGGGGTTCAGTAGAGAGCACAGTGACTGCATCAGTGTGGTCCAATCAGGAGACAAACTGTGCAGAAGGACAGGAAAAGGAGGTGAGGGTAAAGAGGAGGACTTACACACTGGATGTCTTCAGACCCTTCTCCTCTTTCAGCATCTAGAATGCAGCAGCTAGGCCTGAACACTTCAGGTGGGATTTAGAAGAACCATCTCTGCAGACTCTGAGAGACTAAAAGGAAAAATTTAGGATACTGATATTGGGAATCACTCCAGTCCCAACAGGAGGCAGAGATCTGCTCACACTGAATGTGTTCTGCCAGATGCTTGGAGCTCTATGGGCTTTGTTCCCTGCTATTATACATAAACAGACAGGACTATGAGTTACCTCAGACAGACCTGCCACAATAAGAGAGGGGAAAAAAACAAACAAACCCCAAAACCTTGGAACACAAGAGACAAGAGATTATGGAGAGAGAAGAAAAATAGTCTCCAAACTATAATAAGTCAGTGAATCGACACATAAGCATGTCACTTAGAGATTCAGAGGGAAATGTCAAAAGAAATCAGCTACAAAAACTTCTAAGAGGTTAAAACTTCTGTTCTGGAGAACAGAAAATGGTTAGGAGAGGAGGATGAAATGCTATTTTTTTTTATAATCAACAACAAAAAACTATTCAGTTTTTTAAATTATACACAAGTACTTTGTAGATATAAAATCAAAACAAAATACCAAGAAACTACAGGAGATTTTAAAGTGAACATAGCCCACTAGACACTCCTCCCCAAAACTCTTATGACACTGTCTTATTTCAGTTGTCACCTGCTTTTCTCACCCCATCCACTTTCACCCCAATACCCAAACAAGGCTAGTGAGAAAGGGAAAGGGAGACTGGAAGGCCTGGGATCTGCTCTGTCAGGATCATGTGAGAAGCCTGGGGTCAGCTTCAGTTCACTGACTCCAGATGACTTCTCCTTGCACAACTTAAGTTTGTATTAAAGTTACAACTATCAAAACCAGGCTGACTCAATCCTCATGTGTTTCCTCTTTCTTACTTTCTTTTCAAAGAATATCCTCATCCCCAAAAAAACCTTGATTCTAAATACACCTTCTCCCATTGCTTTCTCTAGGTTCTCCTCCTGTACAGGCTGGGATATTCTTGGGGTCTATCTGCCTTAGGGGGGACAGACTGCAAGTCTTTAACACTTGGGTAACAGAAACCTTTGCTACCCTTTCACTTCACTGTGTTGCTTTCCCTGGGGATAAAAGGGAGAGGTACTTTTAGCTATGGTTATTTTTATACAGAATAATTCCATTTGCCTACCAAATTGTATCATATTTCCCCTTTTTCTTTTTTTAATATCTTTATTTATTCATTTTTATGTGTTGCTGAGGATGGAACCCAGTGCCTCACACATGCAAGGCAGGAGCTCTACCACTAAGCTACAGCCCCAGCCCTCCTCTTTTTCTTTACTAGCAATTCCACTGGCTCTGACTTTCCTTGATATAAACAAGGGACCTGTTTGGAACAAAATAGTTGGAATGACACTGATAGACCAGGTGTGCTCATCCACTCATTACACAGTACTCAGAGAGAAGAGTCTCATTTTAGATTTTTTTCAAAACAAACATCCACTAGTTCCTTGTCTCTGATGTAGGTTAACCTCTTATCTCTGATAGCGAAGGCATAATTATCTCTTTTTCAGTTAAACAAAGCAAAAAGCAACATCTGATATCTTTGACGAATAGTTGGGATTCAAATGTCTTAATAATTCCCAAAGTTAAGATGAACAAATAAATGGAATTTACTGGGGATACTTTTAAATTCCTGTTTTATTCCAAATATTATTTCACCATCATAGAATGGTGAAGGCTCTGTTTAACCATCATATAAAAAAAGAGTATGAGTTTTGCTAACTACAAGCTTAAGTAGTGGCTAGAGAGTGCTTCCACAAAAAGTCAACTTCTCTCTTCCCCACCCCTCTGTTTCCAAGAATACAGGTAAGACTGGTTTTGCTCTGTTGGTCACTTCATCAGTATTTGATGAGGATCTTCACGTCTATTATAAGGAAGCTGCTATAGCAGGTGGAGAAGAGAAAGAACTCAAGGATAATGTAATAGATGAGTACACACATACCTAGGTGATGACAGTATTGATTGCTAGGCATTCATATTGCCTCTGTTGACTTTATAAATACCCTGTGAGGTCTTAAGTCACATATAGTCACCATATTAAAGATGAGAAAAGTGAGACTAAGAGAAGGTAGATCAGTGATTCTCAAACACTTAGCTCTCAGTACACCTTTACACTCTTAAAATTATTGACATAGTTCTCAATGCACACACAAATTAAATCAAAATGAATGCACGACCTAAATGTAAGAGCTATAACAATAAAACTCTTAGAAGAAAACCAAATGTAAATATATGTGACCTCAAAACCTCTCTCCCTGCTCCTCCTTAATCTCAGGGAAAAAAGGATTACCTTTCTTCCCCATTCTAGGCAGAGTTATTGGTCCCTGAGTACATACCCACCATAGGAACAAAGTAACCCAGACTTTGGGGATAGTACCAGAAGATCTCAGAAACGACTATCTCCCAAATTAACAAGCGAATTACAACTCCAGAAAAAGAAAAGAATGCAGTCTTTGAGTCACCTCTTTAAAAGCCCCTGTTCAATTATTTTATGGGTTAACTAACAACAACAAAAAAGAATCTATTAATGTTCTAGAAGCCCTGGGCTCAATCCCCAGCACCACACACACAAAAAAATCAGAATGTTGACATTCATTAAAAGCCCC